TGGCAACCCTGACCTCATCATCCAGTCGCTCATAAAGCGCACCAAGGAATTAAACAGCATTAAAACAGTGGATCTGGAGAGCATAATCGAGCTCACCAGTGCTGTGCGGAACCTGGTAAGCACCATGGAGCTGTTGGAGGAGACGGATCATCTCACAAATCCGCAGCTCCGCCAAGACATCGTGGCAAAGCTGCCAAATGAGCTGCGCCTCCGCTGGGGAGAGCATGTGCAGAGTCTTGGTCGCCGTTCCACGCTGAAGGATTTGTCAGATTGGCTGACAGAGCGTGCGGCTGCAGCTTACCATGTGAGCCCACCAATCGTTGGCAACACCAACACCAGCGGTGGAGAACAGTCGAAACGGCGGGCCGGTCAACTAATGGCGACTATCTCCGAACAGAAGCGCAAACCAAGGGCATGCGCCTTCTGCGAGAAAGCCGGCCACTCAGTTTCGTCCTGCAAATCATTCAAGGATGTGAGCCAGAGTGAACGGCGTAAGTGGGCCCGGTCTGCAAACCGGTGCTATGTGTGTCTCGGGTATGGGCATGGTGCACGAAACTGCCAACGGAGCAAGCCATGTGGCGTAGATGGCTGCACGAGTCTTCACCACCCTCTGTTACATCCGCAGAACTATGAGCAACAAGGACAACGCAGAGTCTCTGCTGATAGTGAGCAGACTAACTCCATCACGACGGGATCACACGTGACCTGCAGCATGCAGAAGCCATCTGCGAGCGTCATCCTCCGAACAGTACCGGTACGCCTGATAAATGGCGACAACGAAGTGATGACGTACGCACTGTTTGATGAGGGATCTACAGTGACACTAGTAGACACCCAATTAGCCAAGACCCTGCAAGCGTCTGGCCCAGTGAAGCCGCTGTCTCTCACGTGGACAGATAAGCAGCATCAGCACCATCCTCAGTCCATGTCCTTGAACCTGCAGATTGCTGGGTTGCAGGGAGATGAGACCTTTCAGCTGAGAAATGCCAGGACAGTGAACAACCTCGATTTGACGTGTCAGCCGGTGACGTCTGCAAAGGCGCTGAACCAGTGGCCGCATCTGAAAGACGTGCCGGTCCACACACTCGATAACAAGAAGCCCCAGCTCCTGATCGGCCAGGACAATGTCAGCCTGACGGTCGGGCGAGAGGTCATTGAAGGCGCGCCCAACGCGCCGATCGCCTCGCGAACCAAGCTTGGGTGGGTCGTGCACGGTCGGTCATCTCATCGTCAGGGCAGAGTGGATGACGTCGTTCTGCAAACCATCTCTACCGAGGATGAAGAACTTCACCAGCTAGTCAAATCGTCGTTTAGGACTGACGATTTCGGAGTCAAGGTGCCGCACGCTACAGCCCACAACCGTGAAGAGCTGCGGGCATTTGAGCTGCTGCAGGCGACAACACAGCGGTTTGACGAGACTAGGTGGGAGACGGGGCTCCTGTGGCGCAAAGACGACCCAGTGCTGCCACGTAGCTACGGCAACGCGTTCAATCGACTCCGCAGCCTTGAGCGCAAGCTTGACCGCAACCCATCGCTGCTAGCGAAGTACGACGAGAAGATTGCTGAGTATGTCGACAAGCGCTACGCGGAGATTCTATCTCCCCATCAGGCAGCGGTGGACTCCAACACCACCTGGTATCTCCCGCACTTTGGGGTCACCAACCCCAACAAGCCGGACAAGCTACGGTTGGTTTTCGATGCTGCATCGAAAACCGGGGGAAGTAGCCTGAATGACGCCCTGCTCTCTGGCCCTGACCTGTTGCGACCGCTGCCAGCCGTACTGTTTGGTTTCCGCGAGGAGGCCATCGCATTTGGTGGTGACATACAAGAGATGTTCCACCAAGTGGTTATTAGGCCACAAGATCGCTGCGCTCAACGATTCCTGTGGCGTGGGCAGGACCGCAACAGCAAACCGACTGTCTACCAGATGAGGGTGATGACTTTCGGGTCAACCTCTTCACCGACGTCGGCGCAGTTCGTGAAGAACATCAATGCTGCCGAGCATCGTGACAAGCTCCGTGCAGTACAGGGTATTGTCGAGCATCACTATGTCGATGACTACTTTGACAGCTGTGCCGAGACCAAAGAAGCAGTCAAGATCGTGACAGATGTGATTGACATCCACAGACAAGGTGGCTTCCACATCAGGAACTGGGTTAGCAACTCACCGACTGTGCTTGAAGCAGTGCCGATTGAGATGCGCGCACCATCAAGCATCGTAAGTCTGGACGTCGATCCTGCAATGTCAGTGGAGTGTACGCTGGGAATGATCTGGGACCCCAGTGCCGACACGCTTGGTTTCCATGTCAGTAAGCTCCGCCTAGAACAGATGCTGACATCCAAAAGCACGACGAAGCGTCAGGCACTCAGCACTGTGATGTCAGTGTTTGACCCACTCGGCCTCGTCGCCTGTTACTCCATCAGAGCTCGAGTCCTGATTCAAAGCATCTGGCGAGCGTCCATTGGCTGGGATGATGAGCTGCCAAGGTCGCTGCAAGGCGAATGGACGAGCTGGTGTGAGGAGCTGACGGAGCTCGGCAAGCTGGCAATACCAAGATGCTACAGTTTGAAGCCCGGAGGAGTCGCTAACGTCCAGCTTCACGTCTTCTGTGATGCCAGTGAACTTGCATTCGCCGCCGTCGGCTACTTTCGCTTTCAGCTGAACGACGGAACAGTCGACACGGCGCTCGTTACGGCAAAGTCCCGGGTCGCACCGCTGAAGCCGCTGTCAATACCGCGTCTTGAGCTGCAAGCCGCGCTGCTCGGAGCTCGGATTGCAAACGCAATCACTAGCAGCCACAGGATCCAGCCCGACTCCACCGTGTTCTGGAGCGACTCGCGGACCGTACTCTGCTGGATCAAGTCAGACGGTCGCCGCTACAAGCCATTCGTCGCACATCGTGTTGGCGAGCTGTCTGAGCTGTCAAACCCAGATGATTGGCACTGGGTGTCGACGATCGACAATGTCGCAGATCTAGCCAGCAGAGGCGTCGCGGTGAATGAGATCCCGCCAACAAGCCGCTGGTTCACAGGTCCAGCGTTTCTGAAGGAGCCGACATCACAGTGGCCAACGGTACCATCCACCAGTGAGCCTGTTGAGAACGACGCCGATGATGCTGAACTGAAGAAGGAGTTCGTCGGACATGCTGCTCAACGTACAAATCGCCTCTGTCTGCCAGACCCTGAACGGTTTTCGTCATGGCACAAGCTTGTACGCACCACGGCATGGGTAGTCCGCTATGTCCGTAAGCTGAAGGCTAGTGTTGCAAGGAAGTCGACCAAGCTACCAGCTGAGTTGCTGGCGTCCGAAGTTCAGCACGCACAGACGCTGTGGTGGAAGACCGTCCAGCAAGACTGCTTTCCTGATGAGCTAGCATCACTGCAGAAGGGAGAGCCAGTCAGCCGTAGTAGCCGCCTCTACAAGCTGTCAGCTGGTCTCGATGATGATGTCATCAGGGTGTTTGGTCGAACCGATAGTGCAGCCGAACTCCGTCCATCAGCAAAGCGACCAGTGATATTGGACCCAGACCATCGGTACACGCGTCTGCTACTGCAGCAGCACCATGTGTGGAATGGCCACCATGGACAGGAACGCATGGCGAACGACCTGCGCCAGTGCTACTGGATTCTGAAGCTACGCGTCGCTGTGAGAAGAACATGGACCGAATGTCAGCGGTGCAAGAACGAGCGTGTCATTCCGCTGCAGCCTGAGATGGGCCAGCTACCAGAGTGCCGTATCACAGCCAATGTCAGACCATTTACGAACACAGGAATGGACTACTTTGGCCCGATGGAGGTCACGGTTGGTCGTCGCCGCGAGAAGCGGTACGGTGTGTTATTTACGTGTATGAGCACACGAGCAGTGCACTTGGAAGTTGCACACAGCCTCACTACCGACGCCTGTATCCAGAGCATCAGACGTATGAGTGCCAGACGAGGGCAGCCAGCCGCCATCTACTCAGATAACGGCACCAATCTGCGAGGAGCAGACCGAGAGCTGCGGGAGAGCATTGGTGAGCTCGATCAGGATCGTCTGACTGCCGAATTGACGGCTCGTAGTATTGAGTGGCACTTCAACCCTCCAGCAGCTCCCCACATGGGTGGGGCCTGGGAACGACTCGTGCGATCCGTGAAAGTTGCTTTGCGAGCATCACTGACGGAACAGCATCCACGTGATGAATCTTTGCTGACTGTGTTTGCTGAAGCCGAGAGCCTGGTCAATGGTCGCCCGTTAACGCATGTACCTCTGGACGCCGAAGACGACGAATGTCTGACACCCAACCATTTCCTGATTGGTACATCCAGTGCAGCGCTATGTCCTGGAGTCTTCAACAACGCCGACCTGTGTTTGCGCAAGCAGTGGCGTGTCGCCCAAGCGCTCACAGAGATGTTCTGGCGTCGATGGGTCAAGGAATACCTACCTACGCTAACACGTCGCACCAAGTGGCACCAGCCATGCCGTCAACTGGCACCCGGTGATGTAGTTGTTATAGCTGACGACAAGGCCACACGTGGAGTTTGGCCGCGTGGCATCGTGATCGCAGTTCACCCTGGCCGAGATGGCACCGTTCGAGTCGCTGATGTCAAGACAACCACCGGAGTGTACCGCCGGCCAGTAGCCCGTTTGTGTTACTTGGATGTACGTAAGTAACTGCAGTCAGTTACTAGGTGGGAGAATGTCCGCGCTGCGTGCTCAGACAGACTTACTGAATTTGCCGTTTGATCGTCGTTCTGCAGCTCTGTAGTATTTCTCTTCCTCTGTTAGTTCTTTCTCTTCTGTCACCCAGCGCTAGGTGCAAGCACCCCCTGGCAGATTTATACTACATTGTTCTACTTGATAAATTTATTGTTCTCTCAAACTTATTCCTTCGTTGTGTACGTGTTCGAACTGTTTTTGAATTATTTTCGTTTCTTTCTTGCCATGTGCATGTGCCAGCTGCCGAAGTGTGCAGTCGCAGCAGCGCCATTTTTGAATAATTATTATGTCATTGATCATGTGATCACGAGCGATTGTTGCTAGCGCTAGATCCGCGGATCTGCTAGTGCCGTAGTGGTACGCATGCATACGTGTAGTTTGACTTGCCTGCGATAGTTTTCTGTGATCTGCTGTTTTGCACTGGAATCGCACTTGTACTTTGACCTCTTCACACTTCTCCTTTTGGCAATGCGTGTCCTAAATCTCTCCGCGAAGTTTCCGCTGATCCCGCGCGGGGTTCTCACGCACCGTGCGGCGCAGTACGGAATTTTGCACTTGTTTCTTTTCTTGTATCCTTTTCTGGTTTCATAGCACCTTTTCGGGACTGTTCCTCTGGGCGAGAAGTAGCCTTGTCTTGGTGGCTTTCTTGTTCATTGGTAGAGTTTTTCTTTGGTGCTCATAGAGTTTGCTTCGTCTTTCTTGTCTTATTATCACATTTACACTATCGTCATACTAAGCACAGCTTTGGAGTGTTGGCGAAATTACACATACATACATACACACAATCATGTATGTGACCACATCATGTACGTGCACGGAACAGCAATGCATGCTAATGAGACGGAAGCAGCCAGCTCTCAGATTATGATCATTTGGCATTTACACAGTGAGAAACGGTAAAGGAGAGAGGGGGGGGGGGGGGAGGAGAGAGGGGGGGAGAAAGGATAATGCTGCACTTACAATCAGGTCGTCAATATTCTGTAGCCAGTAGAAACGCAGTTGACTCTCCCATTCAAACTCACGAGCATCCATGATACTATGAAATACACACAAACACACACGCACAGATACGCACACAACGGCACATAAACATGTAAACACACACGCTACCATTGCTGATCTGGACACACATCACCAAGGCCACCCATCTACTACATAAACAGTCATTCAGAAAATGTACAGTAAAATGTGTAACTAAAGACCACCGTGACTAGCGACCAGTCTGGTTCTACACGGACCACGCACCACGCAGGCATGGACGGTCTCACATTCATGTATGGTTATGCAGTGCAAACCTCTAACTAAGGATCACCTGCCACTAAGGACCGCTTTCTCTGGCCCCAAGGGGTGGTCGTTAGTCACAGGTTCTAATGTACCGTAAAGTACTGCCAGAGCGCCCCGTCTCGCGAGAGCGCCTCACCTTGATTTTACAGCCAAGGGAAGAAAATCGTATGGCAGAATGCTACTAAGTTTGTAGGATGTGAGAACCTTCGTGTACTAAGGTCACACTTGGTATGCTTTTATGTGGAGCTCGAAGGTAAACTGGGTACGGATTGACTGCACAACGTGCAATGTTTGTACAAGGTCCGTGTCGTATGACCTACAGACAGGAATCCACCTCCACAAGGCGGCCACGAAAGGGCGAGATGGTGGGGCGCTCTGGCGGTACTTTACGGTATGTTCATATGAATCAGGAGTTGATTGCACTCATTCACATAATAAACAGTACTGTGCAGCGAACCTTTTTAAAAATATTTTTAAATTTTTACAAGATACAGTAAAACCTGGTTTAAGCGACCACCCCACGGTGCAAGCAAAAGCGGCCGTTAAACCCAGGTGGTCTTTAGAACCAGGTCCCACAGTGTCTGTGTAGAACTGTCGGTGCACGGAAAACCGGGTCGTTAAGAGCAGGTGGTTGCTAAACACAGAGGTCGCTTACACCAGGTTTTGCAAGATGGACACGAACTCACTGGCAGGCACATGGCGCCACCAAACCCTGCAGACGCGGTTTACACGTACCTGTCACGGACGAAGCGGTCGATGATGTCGCGATTGTGAACGTCGATGATCAGCACTGTGTTGAGCTTCTTACGATCGTTCTTCGGCAGCTGACCTCGAATCTACGCACACGGGACAGCAAACACTCCCAATTATAATGAGCTCTGCTGACGAGGCCTAACAAGATTGAAACAGCCAGCAGCCCCGGAGATTGAGCATGTTCAATAACATACAGTTGCGCTCGGTGAAATCCGACCCAAAGTGCAAAACTAGCGCCCTGGACAAGTTCAGATTACATCACTATACTTGTACTTGTGTACGTCCAGCCGCAGACGTACATGTACCACTTGCAGGGTGTCAAGGGCCGTGCAAGTTGATGGCGCCAAATATGCACTCCGGGTCGGATTTCAGTGAGCACAGCAGTACATGTACAAGCAGTAGTTATATACTACTGCTTGTACATGTACTTAAAGGCCAAAAAATCATTCTAGCCAAGTCAGCCACCTCAACCTAATGTCATTTCTGGAAGGCAAGCCAGTGCTCGGCGGCACGGCTGGATTAACAACCCCGACACACGACACACGACATACAAGTACCAGCGCAAGCGACAGTGACAGCTACAGCCGAGTACAAAGAAGCAGCTTCAACTGATTCCTGCCAACAACATTTGCTGCAAAGCTAAGTGTGCGCTTCCTCATCTCAGAACGATTTTCATCAACGCAGCCATGGCACTCACTGGTGGCAGCAGCAGCATCAGCAGCAGTAGCAACGCAAGCATCAGCATCAGCAGCAGTAGCAACGCAAGCAGCAGCAGCAACAGCAGCGCCAACAACAGCAGCAGCAGCAACAGCAGCAGCAGCAACAACAGAAGCAGGCACACTGCTGTAGTACGATAATACAACTCCTGTTCATCTTTGCTCCTGAATTGTCCTCCCTGTTGCTTTGTAACCTTCCTCCTCCCTAAAAGAGGACGGGATAAAAGAGGACCGGATAAAAGAGGACCGGATGAAAGAGGACCGGATGAAAGAGGACCGGATAAAAGAGGACCGGATGAAAGAGGACCGGATGAAAGAGGACCGGATGAAAGAGGACCGGATGAAAGAGGACCGGATGAAAGAGGACCGGGTAAGGGACGTCTAACAGTATACATACTACACTACCAACACACCACAAAAAGGAGAAAGAGCTGTAGCAACAGCCAATAAACACAACCAACCAACCAACCAGTCACTGCAGCAATGAACAAACGTCGCCAATCGTACCTGCACGACGATTTCGTCGAGCTGTGCGTGCAGTTTCTTGCTGTACATCTTCATAGCCATCTTGTCTCCTTTCTTCACTTTGGAGAAGACATCTTCGACTTCCCACGTCCACCAAACCTACAAACACACACACACACAAACACACACACACACACGCGCATGCGCACACAAATGCACAAACGCATGCGCAGACACACATATGCAAAGTGATAACACAAAGTAAAGTACACACATCGACGTTACCAATGGCGACATAATTGAGTTTGAAACACAACCGGCTTCAGAGGAAGTTGTGCATATGCCAGGCTTCCACAATGCCTTAATGTATGCATACTAAATCCTGTGGCAAGCCATCTTCAGGACAGCAAGAGACAACCCTCTTCAAAAGACAAGTTCTTCCGGACCCCCAACACCACTCTACACTGTCCAGGCATTCTACACACACAGCGGTAGTTCTTTCTCCGGACATTCGTTTCGCCCTCGTGCAAAGCTCGCTGTTTTATCGCAGCTGACAAGCCTTTCTTTAGGTCGGTATTCATGCAGACACACAAACACGCACACACAAGTGCAACGTACACATACGAACACACGAACACACACACACACGTCCAGACAGTACTGACCTGGTTAGCGGCAAGAATGATCATTCCCTGGTATTCGTACATCCACTGGACACTGTCATGTATACATACACACACACACACACACACACACACACACACACACACACACACACACACACACACACACACACACACGTACACATGTACACACACACATACACATACACGTACACACACACACATACACACATACACGCGCGCGAGCGCGCAACACAGGAAATAATTCAATGGACAAGAAAACGGAACAGGTAGTTCAGACGTAGTAGATGAGGTCAATTACCTACGCATGCATGACTGCACGTTTGGTACACAGCAACAACAACAGCAGCAACAATCTCACCTTCTCATAAATTTATCTCTTATTGGCGATGGTGCCATCGTGAGAATAAAGAATTCAAATTCAATTCAAACAACAACAACAACAACAACAGCAGCAGCAGCAGCAGCAGCAGCAGCAGCAGCAGCAGCAGCAGCAGCAGCAGCAGCAGCAGCAGCAGCAGCAGCAACAACAACAACAACAACAACAACAACAACAACAACAACAACAACAACAACAACAACAACAACAACAACAACAACAACAACAACAACAACAACAACAACAACAACAACAACAACAACAACAGCAACAGCAACAGCAACAACAGCAATAGCAACAGCAGCAGCAGCAGCAACAGCAACAACAGCAGCAGCAGCACCAGCAGCACCAGCAGCAGCACCAGCAGCAGCAGCAGCAGCAGCACCACCACCAGCAGCAGCAGCAGCAGCACTGCACACTAGGCATTTCCCAAATCGGCCGGCCGAAAAATTCGCCGAAAACTGTGGTTTTGAAGAAATCACCGATCTTTTCGCCGAAAATCGATGTTTTTGTGCCTCAACTGCAATCTCTGTAACCATCGTACTACGAAAGGTGACTGTGACTTTAGGCATTAACGAAATCGGTCAGCAGGAAAAGATGACGAAATCAATGGCTGTGAAGAAATCGCCGAAAATCGCTGTTTCAGTGCCTCTTAAAGCGTGCATGTACATGTACATGTAAATGTACACTGTGTTACGAGTGGTGAGTTCAAGTACTGCTTTGAGCCGAATTCTGACTTTGGGGCTCCTAATTTGGCCGAATTTGGACATTCTCTTAGCCGATCGAAAAGCCGATTAGGCGAAAAAATCGGCTTTTCGATTTTGGAAATGCCTACTACCCACTCACCGCGGTTTGTTGTCCTCCATGTACTTGAAGACGGCCTCCTTGGTGAGGAGACGGTTTGTACGTCGCATCTCTTCCAGTACACTTGTCATCCACTCTTCAACCTGAAACAAAGAAACACGGGAAGACAACGCACATGTACCCTATCCATCACACCACACATAGTGTTCTTCCTTATACGAAGCACTGACAAGAGCAAAGCCGAACTTCATATACAGTGAAACCGGTCTAAGGCGACCACTCAGGGGACGAGAAAAAGTGGTCACCTTGGCCAGGTGGTCTTCTTATCCAGGTTCAGTGGGTCACGTGACTATATTCACACTACATGTACAAGTCATGATGTGACATATCATTTTGATCAGTGTATCACAGTGCACACACCTTTGCTACTAGTACTATGCACGACTCATGAGTCGTGTGCCTGGGGGCCTCAGACGTGCCAAGTATCCTGCATGCACCATGTGCATACACTAGTATACGTTTCCTGCGCTGATGAGTGATGTGCATACCGTCATCTACCATGCATGGTGCACAGTGCGATGCGTGCATGTCAGTGTACATGTAGCAGTGTGAAAAGCGGTCGCGGGTAGGTGGTCGTCGGTCGCGTTGAGCGAGTGGTCGCCTTATCCGAGCTGTTTTGAATGTGAATGCGTCCGCGACACGGAAAAGTGGTCGCCATGGTCGAGTGGGCGCCATATCCGAGTGGTCGCCATCACAGGTTTTACTGTATCGACCCACAGGATGCATACGCAAAGCCACGCACACGCGCACACGCGCATACACTTCATACATATACATCCCCTACCCCCACCCTAGAGATGCATACGCAATCACCGATCTTTTGCTAGCGGAGGAAGCAGCTGCATACACAGCGATACACACGCGCATGCACACACGAATTCAAATAGAAGAAAGAAAGAAACAGACGCGTCCCCTCTGCTTACCCTCCCTTCGGCTTCGATGTTTGAGCGGAAATCCATTCTCTCGCCCTCACCACTGATCATGGCATGGGCAAGTAACTCTTCTGGCGAGGTCGGGTTCGGCTGGAAATCCAGTTTGGAAATGTTGTCAAACATCTGTGTGCGGGGTACGTGTGAGCACAGGCAAAACAGAGAGATTCCAGGCTGTCCAAGAGAGTGCTCAATACCGAGAGGCAGAGCTAGTTCAAACAGGAATATGAGGACGAAGAATTTTTCTGTTTTCTGATGATCGCTTAGCGCGTGAAACTCGGAGTAAAACACTTTTTCGTTCTTTTTATTGTTTGTAAGGGCAGGCACATGGACACACGCGTGAGAGTAGGCAGAGAGAGGCAGATGGACAGACAAGAAAGTTATCACGCAAGGGCATGTACCCCACATGTACCAAAAACAAACACCCACGCACACATATGTGTGCGCATGCGTACGCACACACGCATGCGCGCGCGCACACACACACACACACACACACACACACACACGCGTGTACGCACACACACACGCACATGCACACACACACACACACACCGTACCTTGATCATATGTTCCTGAACACACGTCGCCTCACTGCTGCCCAGAATACTCAACAGCTCGTCGTCGGAGATGAAGAAGAAACGCGGGAACGCGTTTCTCTTGCTGTCCAAGTAGTCGTTGAGGCTCTTCTGACATTTCTCCAAGCCGTTGCTGAGCATTTGAAGCTCCTGCAAGCGATTGGCAACGCTACACGCTTCCAGGACATTTTTCTTCTTGGATGTCTCAGCCATCATCTGAGAAAACAAAAACAAAAACAAAGCGGTGAGGTATTTAGTAAAGAAAAATTTATGGCACGAGAAAGACCAGTCGTCTCTCACTAGTCCAGCACTTTATAAGACACTTGACACACACGCACACACTGACGCGCATGCACACGTACACAGACATGCACATACATGCATCACTTCTAAGTGTGTCTAGTGAAAAGGTTCCCAGTCTGTGTGCCACTCAGATAGACTGAGGTGTTCGTATCCGCAGGAGCCTCAAGGATCAAGGCGCAGATGCAGCTCCAAAAGCATCAGCAAATGCCGGGGGAAATCGACGTCGAAGCAGTTCAGCTGAGGCATGACAGTACGGCAATTTCGTTAATTACAAACATGCAGTAATGCCATTGTGCAAGGGAAATCCCCGAACACTGCACTAACATCACCAGCATTGTACACGACATCAGGGGAAATCCCCCTAACTCAATGGCTACCATTCACTGTCACTGTGCAATCATGGTGATACTGGGGGAAATTCCCTTGCCAAGACATACAGCAAACATGCAGTAATACCACCATGCAATGGAAATCACCTAACAATGTAGTGACGTAGCCAGCATTAACACGACATCCCCCCGAGGGGAAATCCCCCTAACTCAACGGCTGCGATCTTATTGTCACTGTGCAACCATGGTCATACTAGGGGAAATTCCCTTGCCAAGACATACGGGGGAATTCCCTCAGGTACATAAACATCCATAGTTTGAGAACCACCCAGACGCCCAACACGCAGTACCTTCTTGAATGTCTTGTCGATGGCGTCAAACTTCTTGGCCTCCTCGGGCAGCTGTGAGCGAATGTCGCCGCCAATAAAGATCCCCTCTAAGTACATCCACTTGCGTTGCACAACCATCCACACCTGGACGAATGGACACACACACACGCGCAGATATGTGTGTGTGCACGGACAAACAAACAAATACGCAAAGCATTGGAGTTTTTTTCACGGCTCGCTTGAGATTCGGTTAGGCTGAGCTTTCAGCATTTGTCGGAACGCCACACATAAACACACACATACTCACAAACACACAGATGCACACAAACACACAACAGTTACACACACACACACACCCGCTCACGCACGCAGCCCCCCCCCCCCCCCACACACACACACACATACACGAACACAAAGTCACCCTCACCTCGACAACCTCACTGATGAGCGATAGGCTCTTCTCCCAGCGTTGCACTTGCTCCAGAAAAGGTCCCACAAACTGAGATGCCGACATACTCTGCAGGTTGACAGAGTTGTCATCCAGCGTTTGGAGGATCTCATCCACAGCACCGAGGACAAATCCCCGGTCTTGTGTGCCCTGATGACAGCACACAGCAGAGGAAGCATGTACACACACACGAAGGCACGCACGTACACACGGACACACACACGCACACACCCACACGCACACGTACGCGCGCACGCACACACCCACACGCACACGCACACACACACACACACACACACACACACACACAAAAAAGGCGATCAGGACCAAACAGGACAAAACCCCTGCTCTGCGTACCCTTGCATGATACAAGGCTATGAGTGAAAACAGAACACAAGGGACTATCCAGTGATGTTACACAGGACCTTGTCCCATCACAACTTCCAACACATGCACGCGTATTTGTATTTTGTATTTGTATTTATGGATTCTCCACAGGCCTTAGCCTAAATCGAGGGAGTCTCCGTCAACAGCTTATGATACAGGAGAAGAAGCTGAGGAGAACAATCTGCAGGCATACATGTACACCAACACTAGGACTAGTGGTTCATAACCACTAAGAGTGCAGCATTGTCTGTGAAACCTGTATCCAGTGCAGCAATGGTAGAACTTCATGCTACCTGTTATGTGATGTTCTTCAATACTGTAAAAGCCATTATTCTAACGAGGCGCATATATAACGATTTCCCGAAATTGACTGGTTTACGTGTACCAAAGGCAACGATTCTCACCCATTCTCAACGCTCAATAGGACGGTATATGTATCGATTTCTGTATAACGATTTCTATTTTAACGACAGATTTCTCCTCGTTAACTCGTTAGAGGTAGCACTTCGTTATAATTATGGCCCTTACAGTAGGTTATGCTGGAAAACAGTACAAATAACCATCAGAGAGTTGAACCACCCGAAGTAGAGTTGTGTTAAACCCTGTATCTATCATGCACAGGGTGCAAATAGCAATTATGTGTACGGGTTCGTCACATGATGTTAAGCTCTGCTATCGCAGACACCATAGTCTGAAGTTGCACGCTCTTGGAAATTATGTACTCTTGATGCACATGCACACACGAACAAACGCACGCATGCACGCGCACACACACACACACACACACACACGCACACACACACTCGCACCTACCTTGACGTAGCGGTGTAGCGTGAACGACAGCTGGCTCCACGTCTCTCGCACCTCCGCAATGCCTTTCTCAATGCTCAGTTCCTGGCGGTCGTTGCCGTAATGACAAACACACAAACATGTAAAAGAACATACATGCATTGTTTCAAATCATGTCTCAATCTCATTTTTCACCACCACGGTCTTACACTGCAATCGTCGTTAATAAGTTGATCTCTCCAAATGTTCGCCCTCGGGGCTTCAGCATAGAGTATATATTGGGGCTTCCCGGTACCGATTTCGCATAGGTACTCCCTGATGAAGCCTGCCCAGGGGCGAAAATTCGGAGAGATATTTACGACGATTGCAGTGTAAGACCGTGGTGGTGAAGAAGGAGATTAAGATATAACCGATTGGCTGCAGTGGAGCCTCCGCATACTGACGACGGTGTTGCAGGTGTAAACCAAAACACGTTTTAAAACCCAAGACACTGGAGCAGTATGTCAGTGGATGCAGTAGGTGGGCCATGCGTACCTTGGTAGCGCTCGTCACGATGTCACCAATGATGTCGGCATACTTGTGGAGACCCATGGCGAATAGGTTGCTGAGCGTGAACGTTTCCGGGTTCATGTCGAACTTCTGCTTGGTTGAGTCCATCAGCTTTGTCCAATGTCTGACACGGAAAGAGAGAGAGAGAGAGGGAGAGAGGGAGGGAGGGAGGGAGAGAGAGAGAGAGAGAGAGAGAGAGAGAGAGGGAGAGGGAGAGGGAGAGGGAGAGGGAGAGGGAGAGGGAGAGGGAGAGGGAGAGGGAGAGGGAGAGGGAGAGGGAGAGGGAGAGAGATGTTGATGAACAGCAAAACTATGGCACTCGCATTCACAACTTTCAGGGAGTTGCAAAGGGGTGTACTTGTAAAGGATCCTGTAGGATTTGTCACGCAGCTTCACACATCAACTCAACACTAGTAACTAGGAGAATAGATTGATTGTTACCACCAGGACTAGAACCAAGGGCCCTCGCTTATGGCCATCGATGCTCTGACACTCGTATGCAGAGAAATAGGAAACTCGCATCGACTCCGGAACACGTCCACAACCACATGCACAAACACACAGCCAAGCGGAGGGCACGAGACGTCACACTAGCGTAAACGAAGTGCATAAAAGTGAGATAACGCAGTCTACAGACGTGGTGGCAATGCAGGATGTAATTCCCAGTCGATACAAAAAGGTGGGGGGAAGCTCAGGAGAAGAGAATGGGTGATGACAGGATCAACTTGTTGTTGCTATCTTCATTATTTTGGTCCGTCAATTCACAGTAGTAAAAGTGTTTCATTCGACCCGACTGTTTCTCCTCTGATGAGTTCCCGCCATCTTTCGGAACGAAACAAGACTTGTCAAGAGCAACACTACTTGCTAGATTGGCTGGTGAGCTGTTCGTGCTGGTGTCTGCAAACGTCATCTGGTCTCGTATCGTCACAAGAACAACCTATTACTTCCATGACAGGATTGTTCAGAATCAGGTTCTCTTGTGTCAACATGTTTTGGCAGGAGTTAGCAGTTTGTCAACTGCGGCAGCGTCTGAAACCGCCATGTGAGAAAAAATCGAGCGGCAGGGCAACGCATACACTTCAAATTACTTTGCAGGTCCGCTTCGAAAACAGCACCTTTTTGCAGGTGTACGTGTACATGTAGTGGTCGACCGTCGCCAGATCATCGTTCGGTGCAGTACGGCTCTTGTGTCAAGGCCTGTGGTGTATCACCAACACACTTCATCATTTCTAGGAACTGAGAAGGCATCTTTGCCTGTAAATCTGATGAAGTAAAATAAAACAACAACAACAACAACAACAACAACAACAACAACAACAACAACAACAACAACAACAACAACAACAACAACAACAACAACAACAACAACAACAACAACAACAACAACAACAACAACAACAACAACAACAACAACATTCGTGCAGGCTCCTACCTCTCGCGCAGAGCATCGTTCTTCAAGTCCTCAATGAGAGGAACGGAGTCCTTGAACTGTCGCATGTTCTCCTCAAGAACACGGAACACCGACATCTCCTTGATGTCTTTCTCCATTCGACGTGCCTTCTTTAGGAAGCCTTCGATGCCGTTCGTCAAGCGCTCAATGTTCAGATTGGCCCAGAGGGTAGAGGACCACTCCTCGCGCGCTTTCTACAACCGACACGATGATAACAATATGCACAAACACATGCACACGCATGTATGCACGCACAAGTACGCATGCACACGTACGCATGCACACAGACACGGACACAGACACACAGACAGACACGGACACAGACACAGACACACACACACAGACACCTAACATCCTAAAGAAGCTTCCAACACACTGAGGGCATACGGGGACGAAACACAAACGAAAGTTCAAAGAACACTGATCGTGGACAGCCCCCGCCAAACACACATACACAAATCTCCCCTCAACTAGGCGCACGCAGACCACGCATCACGCCAATGTACCCAGATCCAACGATATCCTCAACACAATCAGTATTCCATGAGTGTCTGTCTCTCCCCACAAGACGACGGTGAAATCCAAAAATCCAAACCAACCTTCTGTTCGCCATACAGAGTGTAGATCTTGCGAAGTCGGCCAATCTGATGGTCTATGTTGGCGAGATTCGGGTAGGCCGTGATCGACAGGTCGAATAGCTTCTCAGCGTTGGCCAACTCCTGGCGTCGAGCCTCATACTCGTCAAATTTCTGACAGTATTCCGTCAGCTTGTCCTGACCTGTGAACAACGCAACATAGCACACAGCAGCAGCAGCAACAGTACCACCAACAGCAGTACCACACCCAGCGACATCAGCAATAGCAACAGCATCCGGACCAGAAATCGCACCCATCCGCAATACATTGTACCTCCCAAACCAAGACAGCGCCAACAGCCTCCACAGCCAACACGGAGAAACAAACCAGATCGAATACCTCTTCAAAAGGGAGAGAATCAGATTGTGTACCGAAATGCACATACCGTTGTAGACATTGATAACCGTTGAGAAGTCAAGCGGCCGCAGGGCGCTGGCCTCGAGGCCGTGAGAACTGCTGGTCCATATCTACAGTGATACAGTGCGTGCGGGCGCTAAACCAGTAAGGGCACCGGCGCCGATCATCTCACCGGCTGTCTACGTCCACAACAGTACATGATTATACCCTTGCTCTATACTCCCTCTGTTATTATTCTTTCACGCGTTTCCATTATGTAATGATCCGTGTATGGGTGGGTCACTGTCGTTCCTCGCATGATAGGGAAGGCCTCTTTTACGGGCAAATCACAGCACAATCACCACCATGTATTAGTACAGTGAATAGTTAAACCCAACACGAATGAAAAATGAGAAATGGAATAAAAATTCCTCGCATGATCCTTCAATCGTGAAACTCGGAGTTACGAATAAAATACCCGTCCTCTGCCGTTTGCATGCACATGTACTAGTAGACATTCATTCACTGTGTAAACGCTACGCAGAGAAAATGACTCGTTGCCCTCAACACAATAACACCACTAATCCAGTGCAAGTGATGCAAATAATGATGTCATGATCTAATAATGATGTCATGATCTAATAATGATGTCATAACGACGTCATGCAAAAGGGTCCATACCAGCATCCAGGTCCTCTCCCACCGCTCCAGGCCCTGTGGTTGCAAAGTCATCAGCAAACGTGTCGACTGACGCGGTGAAATCCGACACCTCCAACAGTGTGGTCTAGCATGGCACATTAGAAAGGGACGTCGTCAGTACACGTGCACGCACACAAACGCGTGCGCACACACGCACACAAACACGTGCGCACACACACACACACAAACATACACACACATACACACACACATACACACACACCATGTATCATGTATACGCCCGTCGTAAGAGAAGCACGCAAATCTACAAATGCACTGGATGTGCATCCACAGATTTTCTCTTATAGCAACGATAGCGGACAAGATCTGAATGACACAGATCAAGAGTAGCGCCAGATAACTGTCCCCCCCCCCCCCCCCCCCCCACACACACACACATGCATACACAGTGACACACACACACGCACACGCGTGCACACACCCACACACTGACACATCACAAACCACACTTACAGAACAGCATAGTAAACCTGACAAGGCGACCTCTCTGATAAGGTAGGTGAACCACAGCCGTAGAGAACCACTCAAACTAGCACCAGGGGATGTCACTTCCACTCAAACAACCCTGTGCAATACGTGATTCAGACTACGGCCAAAATCACGTGTGAACTTGAGTTTCCATGGTGATGCAGTCCTGTTTCAAAACTGTATGTACAATCCCTGATCAAACACGTCGTGAGTCGTAGAAAAGTGGTCACAGTTGGCCGTAGTCTGAAAAGCCTATACGGGGACCACATGTACACCGTGGCCCCATCCGTGCGCCCGTTTGAGCAGTCGTCTTAGACAAGTTTCACTCCCCGCGGTTCCTTATTCAGTTGTTTGTTTAGGTGCACTCTCTCCTCACCTTTGTGAACTTCTTCTTGACTTTGACGAGACTGCGATCAACCCGCCGGGCCTGCTGGAACAACTCACTCCAAACTTCCGAAAAGTTCTCAGCTGCCGCCAACTCTTCTCTTGGAATCTAGGGAAGATATTCAGAAGAGCGAGAGAGAGAGAGAGAGAGAGAGAGAGAGAGAGAGAGAGAGAGAGAGAGAGAGAGAGAGAGAGAGAGAGAGAGAGAGAGAGAGAGAGAGAGAGAGAGAGAGAGAGAGTGAGAGAGAGTGAGAGAGAAAACGAGAGAAAGTTGTATGGAACATTTTGGCAATAGCCCTTTGAACACACCCTGACTAACCAGGACTTGCAAAAGCACCTACCTGTATATACAAAACATGGCCGCCACCTTTTCTGCGGTGGGCAACATACCCCACATTTGTCAGGTACAGCCAGCTGCAGCTACAAAGGGTGTGGCTGAAGTTCACTTGCCCCCCTACAAGACTTTCAGCACTGTCAGGTCCCGAAGAACGGAGCGCTGAAGAACGACCAGGCTAGAATTTCACCAAGCACAGCATACCAATGTATACACGGTGACTCAACTGTGCATAGACTGTAGCACATGAAAATAAGAACAGTCTAGGCTAGGAGGCTGACCACCCTGTTCTTCAGCGTCCGACAGACGGTACCGTACGCAACACGGTCTCAGATCATCTGCTCACCGTGTCTTTGACCTGTTGTCCGCGCATCATCAGTGTGCGGTAGCGTTCCTGAATGTCCAGGTAGCGTTCTTCCACCTCGACGGACATGTCACGGATCTTAGCGATGACACTCAGGACAAACTTGAGATTCACCAGTGAGTCGGGCGAGCGCGTAAGATCCTCCGACAGACCCTGGACATGTACATGTGTGCACGCAAGCATAGGAAGACAGCGAATAACAACAAATGCACATATAAACACAGAGAGGTTCCAGGCTGTCCAAGAGAGTGCTCCATAACGAGAGGCAGAGCTAGTTCAAACAATAAGAGGACGGAAAAAATGTTTTTACTCCGAGTTTCACGCACTAAGCGATCATCAGAAAACAGCAATATGCACATACATACATGTACATTCGGAGAGAGTTGCGGTTGCTCGTGACAGCGCTCAATACACCTAGTTGCAGAGCCCAGTGCACACACTTGAAAGAAGGCGTCAAAAGCGTTTGAAATGCTTTTGATTTCTTCTTTCAAGTATGAGCACATACACACATAATGAGTACACTCAGACCTCGCTAATCCGGTCCTCTTTTATCCGGATCCCTCGCCATCCGCAAGAAAATCGTTGGTTACCGATCTACAGCATGTGCCATGCATACGTAGAGTATGTGTGTTCGACTATCCGCTTCCCTCGCCTATCCGGATATTTTTTGTGGGGAAACGGATGTGTGCGGTTTTAAGCGCGGTCTGAGTGTAATGGGGGTGTGCCTTCAGAACGCTCTAGAAATTCTTCACAGGGCAAAGTTGTGAGACGTTGAATGAGTTGTCACACTCCTCAATGTGTCCGGTCCATACAGGACTCCGTTTGCTACAGGATCTGGCAAAAAACACCGGTTTTACGGTGCGTGAGAAAGTGAGACAATGCCTTGGCACACAAATTGATGGATATGCCAAACACACACACTAAAATCGCTCCAGGAGAAAACCATAGAAACAGTAAAACCAGTCAAGGCGACCACCTGTCCCAGAAGACCACCTGTCTCAGAAGACCACCTGTCCCAGAAGACCACTGAAGCCAGGATCGAGGGATGCTGTGAAATGACCCTGGATAAGGCGACCACCTGGCAACAGGGACCACGTTTCGAGGGTTCATTGAGCGGTCGTCTTTACACAGGTTTCACTCCACTCAACACATGCTATTTCCAGTCGAATGACCCTGGATAAGGAGACTACCTGGTAACAGAGACCACGTTTTGAAGGTTCCATGAGCGGTCTTCTTAGACAGCTGTTTCACTCTACAGTAAGATCAGTAAGGACATCATGGGAGGGGGGGGGGGAGTGGGGGCATACCGTGAGCTCATCGGTCAGTTCATCCAGTGCAGTCTTGGTGTATGCGTGCAGTCCCTGCGCAAGACATGACACCCAGTCCTTGGCATGCTTGGAGATCTGCTGTATGACAAGACCCTGCTTGAGAAGCATGAAGCTAATCTGATGCTGACGTGGGTTTGACAGTACCTGCGATATTATCAACATAATATGTACATATATACATACACACGCACAAATACATACACACACAGACATGAACAAACACGAAAAACACAGGAATAGACACGGGCACGAGCGCACGGGCACGAGCGCACGCGCGCGCGCGCGCACGCACACACACACGACGCACACGCAAACACAGACACACACACAATCGGCTTGTGTAAGAGCAACGTTTTTTCCTGCCAAAGTTATTCCTCCCACAGTCCCATTTCGTTACACTTGCACTTGCAGGTCCCGTCGAGCAAATAACTGAGCATAGAAAAATTGGGAAAAAAATTCGACCACGCCAGGATTCGAACCTGGAATCTCCTGATTCGTAGTCAGGCGCCTTATCCGTTGGGCCACGCGGCCGTGACAACAAACAGTCGAAAATGAGCAGCTATATACAAACAATTTTAATACACTGGAGTTCGTGGCCATTACGTCAAAACAATAGAGAGGTTTAGCATGCCAACAGTCATTATTAACTCTTCTCTTCTTCAACTCCAAAGCGGTTTCTTTACTGCGAATATTTCACAACCAGATTTTGGGAGTTCACTGACAATCAGAAGAATACCAACGTTCGTAAAAAAAAATTCGATCAGCGGGATCGAGCTGCAAAAATTGAAGCAAACAGTCAACAATTTCTTTAGGAAAAAGGCCTGCTTGTCGAACGTTTGCAGTGCAGTACAGCGCAAGTACAGTATAGTGCTTACCACACCATCTTTAGCTTCATAGAAGAGTAACTTATCATCATAGGCCACACAGGACGGTTTCTTGGCGGTGAAGCGCTCCATATTGGCACCCTGAACATCAACAATGGCAACACACACATACATACACACACATGCACACACACACACACAAACACACACACACACACTCACGCACGCACGCACGCACGAACACACACACACACACACACACACACGCACGCACACACAGCGAGGCAGAGCAAACGAGGCATGAAATAAATCACGAATGCCCCCGCACGGTTCCACTTCTGGACTGTTTGCCAAATGAGGAAGTTTTGTTTAAAGGAGGTGAGGGGTGTGTAGTTGGAAGCTTCACTGTTACCCTAATACCCTCCCCCTCCCCTTCCCTCCCTCTCCCTTTCAGCCGAGAACAGCTGATTCCTTGAGTACGTCTTCCTGCTACGCTGACAGAAAGAAAGAAAAACATGTTTTCTTTGTGCAGACGTGGGGGGGGGGGGGGGGGGGGGGGAGGACGTGACCGTATGATGGCTTCCCGTCGTCGTGTTTTCAGTGTGGACGAGAGGCACTGTCAGCTCTGCTGTTGGCAGACGAGCTTGAGTTCACCGGATCTGCAGAAGACGGCTCGTCAGACGGTGCCAGCGCCACTCACGACGCGACGAGGAAGATTTGGTTCTCAGCGAAGGAAGCTATTCTGACGACGCAAGCATTCGGAGGATAACGGTTTGTACACGAGTTCACAGCAATGTCAGGAGACCACGTAATATCTTAGCATTTGAAGACGCTAAACGGTGCGCGACGTGTATTGATGCGCATGCTCAACGTTTTGGCATACCCCACCCAGCGCCGCTTCATGGTCGGGATGATCTGCCGCCAATATTTCTGACAGCATATCAGACGTACAAGTCAGTGCATGCTACCCATCGTATCAACGTTTACTACTGGCAACAAGGCTACGTCTGAGTCAAGCTTTCGATCAATTCGGCATCAATGTGTACCTCACATAAAGTTCATATCCGCTCGTGCCGACGTATGTTCCAGGTGTGAACGCCTGCAACGAGCAGTGTCGTCGGCCGTGTCGGAACAGGAGAAGCTGAAAGCCTGTCAAGATCTCACTGAACATGTGTGTGATGCCCAGAGGCAGAGAGAGAGAGGGAGAGCGTGGGAGTACTCCACACAGAACACTGCAGATGGCGGAGATGAGCTGAAATCACAGCAAGCCATGTCAGCTGCTGGCATCGAGCAGCCAGATCCAATCAGCCAATGCAAAGCTCATTACACTTTCGATTTCGCCCAGAATGTGTGTTTTTGCCGAACACCGCTCGTCAAGAGGGTCCGATGTGTTTTAAGACTCCCCGCAAAGTCCAAGTACTCGGAGTGTGCTGTGAAGGGATCCCCAAGCAAATCAACTACCTCTTGAATGAGAGCGACACCATCGGCGCAGACGGTAAGAAAATCCCACAACCCAAACACAGCGGCCCCTGCCATTCACCACTACTTGAAGACCCATGGCCTTCAGGAGAGTGAGTGCTTCCTACATGCTGATAATTGCTGTGGACAAAACAAAAATAAGACCGTTATGGCATACTTGGCCTGGTGCTGCATGACCGGACTCCACTAAAAGATTATGTCGTTATCTTTTATGGTGACAGGGCACACACGGTGCCTTGTAGATGGGATGTTTGGACTCTTTAAGAGGAAATATAGAAGAGCAGACACATGCACGATGGGCCATCTAGATGAAGTAGTCAATGACAGTACTGAATGCAATGCTGCCCAGTTAGTTCCTGGCTCTGGGCTGCTGTGGTACGACTGGGACAAATTTCTCCCGATGTACTTCCGCCAAATCCCAAGGATCATCCAGTTCTTCCACTTTGTGCTTGAGGCAGTCAACCCAGGGGCGGGTGGTGCTTGTGAAGAGCCGTGTTGAAAACCGCTTTCAACAAGTGTCCGTCTTGAAGACGGGAGCGACGGTGCCCATAGTTATGGCAGCCGGTCTGCTCGATATCCTGCCGGCAGGAGGCGGGGGGGGGGGGGGGGGGGGGCTGTCACGTGAACGGCAGACCTGCCTGTAGCGAGAAATCCGGCCTTTCGTTCCTGGCGAGTTTGCGGACAAATTACGCCGTGCATTGCCTGATGCTTGAGGCCAGCATAGCTGTTTTGCTGTAGTTGTGTAGGATAGCAGGCTAGTTAGCCTTGGCACCAGCTATGGCTGCATTTTCTCCATGCATATCCAGCACGGCGATAAAGTGTGCGGCTCAGATGCGTACTTTTCAAACTACAAACGAAAATCCGGTGGAACAAAAAGTGATTTTAAAAATGTCTCTACTCACGAGTTTCATGCTGAAAACCAATCACCAGGAGACACTTGTACTAAGCTCTGCACGCCGTGTATTGAGCATTGTGACCGGTAGTCAAGCTTCTTCTGTACACTTCACTATTTTCAACGAAAAATCCAGATTATTGTGCTGTATTGCTTAGCTAGTACTCTTCAGCAATGGCTGCCTTGACTGTAGATGATTTCTGGCTTGAAAATGAGATCAAACAGTGTACACTCAACTTTGCATATAACGACACTCGGCGGGGCATCAGAAAAGTGTCCTTATTGGTGAAGTGTCGTTATACCCGAAGTCTCATTATACATGTTACAGTTGGATGGGACTCTGCTCTGGGCATGGAAATTCCGTCGTTATTCGCAAATTGTCGTTATATCCGCAGTCGTTATTAGCGAAGTTGACTGCATTGCTTTACAAAAGCTATAATTATAGCCATGCAGGCATTTTGTATCTTTGAATTGCGATATTTCAATGATTTGCCATGTAGTAAAACGGTACGAAGTAGTGGTTGCGACCTCGGCGATGATTTGTAAGAAAAGGGTTTGCTCCCCACACCGGAGCTCGCGCTATTCCGCCGACTTTACTTGACACTTGACTGACTCACGACTGCCATCCAGAGCACACGAGAAGTCCATCGAACCTTCGACTCGGCAAACCTGCAAGAAAGCACCACTCCCTGCTCAATACACAGTGTTTCGGGGAATTCACCCCTCATCAGTTCCTCAGCCTACTCAAGCTCAACTGATGAGGGGTGAATTCCCCGAAACACTGTGTATTGAGCAGGGAGTGGTGCTTTCTTGCAGGTTTGCCGAGTCGAAGGTTCGATGGACTTCTCGTGTGCTCTGGATGGCAGTCGTGAGTCAGTCAAGTGTCAAGTAAAGTCGGCGGAATAGCGCGAGCTCCGGTGTGGGGAGCAAACCCTTTTCTTACAAATCATCGCCGAGGTCGCAACCACTACTTCGTACTGTTGTGCCCAGCGCGGGCTTGCGACTAGTTGGTTTGGAGGTGACAGCGTTGCGAATGACCGAGGGTCCTCGACGTCTGTCTCACCGTCCAGGAGCGACACTGACTCACGCTGCTATCTGGTGCTCACGAGGTGTTTGTCGCGCTGAAAACGGAGCGTCTCTGTAAGTTTGTATCCCTGGTGATGGTTGTGCCTGGAGAGCACTATATAAGTGGTGCTCTTCAGGCACAATCTTCCTCAGCCTACTCAAGCTCAACTGATGAGGGGTGAATTCCCCGAAACACTGTGTATTGAGCAGGGAGTGATGCTTTCTTGCAGGTTTGCCGAGTCGAAGGTTCGATGGACTTCTCGTGTGCTCTGGATGGC